GTTAGCCTTGCATTTTTATCTAAGAGGGGCAAAAACACATTTTTATCAAAAATTTAAAACGGTAAGGGGTTAGCCTTGTATTTTAATCAAAAAGAGGCAAAAACATGTTTTCATCCAAAATTTAAAACAATAAGGGGTTAACCTTGCATTTTTATTAAAAAGGGGCAAAAACACGTTATTATCCAAAATTTACAACGGTAAGGGGTTAGCCTTGCATTTTTATCAAAAAGAGGCAGAAACACATTATTATCCAAAATTTACAACGGTAAGGGGTTAGCCTTGCATTTTTATTAAAAAGGGGCAAAAACACGTTATTATCCAAAATTTAAAACGATAAGAGGTTAGCCTTGTATTTTTATCAAAAAGAGGCAAAAACACGTTATTATCCAAAATTTAAAACGGTAAGGGGTTAGTCTTGCATTTTTATTAAAAAGGGGCAAAAACACGTTTTTATCCAAAATTTAAAACGATAAGAGGTTAGCCTTGTATTTTTATCAAAAAGAGGCAAAAACACGTTTTTATCCAAAATTTGAAACGATAAGGGGTTAACCTTGCATTTTTATTAAAAAGGGGCAAAAACACGTTATTATCCAAAATTTACAACGGTAAGGGGTGAGCCTTGCATTTTTATCAAAAAGGGGTAAAAACATGTTATTATCCAAAATTTAAAACGGTAAGGGGTTAGCCTTGCATTTTTATTAAAAAGGGGCAAAAACACGTTATTATCCAAAATTTACAACGGTAAGGGGTTAGCCTTGCATTTTTATCAAAAGGGGCAAAAACACATTTTTATCCAAATTTTAAACGTTAAGGGGTTAGCCTTGCATTTTTATCCAAAAGGGGCAAAAACACATTTTTATCCAAAATTTAAAACGGTCAGGGGTTAGCCTTGTATTTTAATCAAAAAGAGGCAAAAACACATTTTTATCCAAAATTTACAACGGTAAGGGGCTAGCCTTGCATTTTTATCAAAAAGGGGCAAAAACACATTTTTATCCAAATTTTAAACGGTAAGGGGTTAGCCTTGCATTTTTATCTAATAGGGGCAAAAACACATTTTTATCAAAAATTTAAAACGGTAAGGGGTTAGCCTTGCATTTTTATCCAAAAGGGGCAAAAACACATTTTTATCCAAATTTTAAACGGTAAGGGGTTAGCCTTGCATTTTTATCTAAGAGGGGCAAAAACACATTTTTATCAAAAATTTAAAACGGTAAGGGGTTAGCCTTGTATTTTAATCAAAAAGAGGCAAAAACATGTTTTCATCCAAAATTTAAAACAATAAGGGGTTAACCTTGCATTTTTATTAAAAAGGGGCAAAAACACGTTATTATCCAAAATTTACAACGGTAAGGGGTTAGCCTTGCATTTTTATCAAAAAGAGGCAGAAACACATTATTATCCAAAATTTACAACGGTAAGGGGTTAGCCTTGCATTTTTATTAAAAAGGGGCAAAAACACATTTTTATCAAAAATTTAAAACGGTAAGGGGTTAGCCTTGCATTTTTATCTAAGAGGGGCAAAAACACATTTTTATCAAAAATTTAAAACGGTAAGGGGTTAGCCTTGTATTTTAATCAAAAAGAGGCAAAAACATGTTTTCATCCAAAATTTAAAACAATAAGGGGTTAACCTTGCATTTTTATTAAAAAGGGGCAAAAACACGTTATTATCCAAAATTTACAACGGTAAGGGGTTAGCCTTGCATTTTTATCAAAAAGAGGCAGAAACACATTATTATCCAAAATTTACAACGGTAAGGGGTTAGCCTTGCATTTTTATTAAAAAGGGGCAAAAACACGTTATTATCCAAAATTTAAAACGATAAGAGGTTAGCCTTGTATTTTTATCAAAAAGAGGCAAAAACACGTTATTATCCAAAATTTAAAACGGTAAGGGGTTAGTCTTGCATTTTTATTAAAAAGGGGCAAAAACACGTTTTTATCCAAAATTTAAAACGATAAGAGGTTAGCCTTGTATTTTTATCAAAAAGAGGCAAAAACACGTTTTTATCCAAAATTTGAAACGATAAGGGGTTAACCTTGCATTTTTATTAAAAAGGGGCAAAAACACGTTATTATCCAAAATTTACAACGGTAAGGGGTGAGCCTTGCATTTTTATCAAAAAGGGGTAAAAACATGTTATTATCCAAAATTTAAAACGGTAAGGGGTTAGCCTTGCATTTTTATTAAAAAGGGGCAAAAACACGTTATTATCCAAAATTTACAACGGTAAGGGGTTAGCCTTGCATTTTTATCAAAAAGGGGCAAAAACACATTTTTATCCAAATTTTAAACGTTAAGGGGTTAGCCTTGCATTTTTATCCAAAAGGGGCAAAAACACATTTTTATCCAAAATTTAAAACGGTCAGGGGTTAGCCTTGTATTTTAATCAAAAAGAGGCAAAAACACATTTTTATCCAAAATTTACAACGGTAAGGGGCTAGCCTTGCATTTTTATCAAAAAGGGGCAAAAACACATTTTTATCCAAATTTTAAACGGTAAGGGGTTAGCCTTGCATTTTTATCTAATAGGGGCAAAAACACATTTTTATCAAAAATTTAAAACGGTAAGGGGTTAGCCTTGCATTTTTATCCAAAAGGGGCAAAAACACATTTTTATCCAAATTTTAAACGGTAAGGGGTTAGCCTTGCATTTTTATCTAAGAGGGGCAAAAACACATTTTTATCAAAAATTTAAAACGGTAAGGGGTTAGCCTTGTATTTTAATCAAAAAGAGGCAAAAACATGTTTTCATCCAAAATTTAAAACAATAAGGGGTTAACCTTGCATTTTTATTAAAAAGGGGCAAAAACACGTTATTATCCAAAATTTACAACGGTAAGGGGTTAGCCTTGCATTTTTATCAAAAAGAGGCAGAAACACATTATTATCCAAAATTTACAACGGTAAGGGGTTAGCCTTGCATTTTTATTAAAAAGGGGCAAAAACACGTTATTATCCAAAATTTAAAACGATAAGAGGTTAGCCTTGTATTTTTATCAAAAAGAGGCAAAAACACGTTTTTATCCAAAATTTGAAACGATAAGGGGTTAACCTTGCATTTTTATTAAAAAGGGGCAAAAACACGTTATTATCCAAAATTTACAACGGTAAGGGTAGAGCCTTGCATTTTTATCAAAAAGGGGTAAAAACATGTTATTATCCAAAATTTAAAACGGTAAGGGGTTAGCCTTGCATTTTTATTAAAAAGGGGCAAAAACACGTTATTATCCAAAATTTACAACGGTAAGGGGTTAGCCTTGCATTTTTATCAAAAAGGGGCAAAAACACATTTTTATCCAAATTTTAAACGTTAAGGGGTTAGCCTTGCATTTTTATCTAAAAGGGGCAAAAACACATTTTTATCAAAAATTTAAAACGGTAAGGGGTTAGCCTTGTATTTTTATCAAAAAGAGGCAAAAACACATTTTTATCCAAAATTTACAACGGTAAGGGGTTAGCCTTGCATTTTTATCAGAAAGGGGCAAAAACACATTTTTATCCAAATTTGAAACGGTAAGGGGTTAGCCTTGCATTTTTATCAAAAAGAGGCAAAAACACATTTGTATCCATAATTTACAACGGGAAGGGGATAGCCTTACATTTTTATCAAAAACATGAATAAGGGGTTAGCTTTGCATTTTGATCAAATGGGGGGAAGTTAAGATTTTATCACAAAGTTGTAATGGTAAGGGGTTAGCCTTGCATTTGTATCAAGAAAGGGATGAAAACCAACTTTTTTATCCAAATTCAAAACGGGCAAGAGTAAACCTTTTTGTCACAAATTCAAAACAGTAAGGTGCCTTGCATTTTTATCGAAATGGGGGAAGTTACATTTTTATCACAAATTCAAATTGGTTAGGGTTAGCCTTGCATTTTATCAAAATGGGAGAAAAGTTTAGTTTTTATCACAAATTCAAAATGGTAATGCGTTAATAGTCTTGCATTCTGATTAAAATTGGACAAAAATTTAGTTCATTATAAAAAAATTGAATGGTAAGACCTTGTTTTTTCTTTGTTAAACCGAACTCCATCAACAGAACATCAAAGAAAAGAAATACATTGTAAAGTAGTGGCTCAAAACACTATGCCAAAAGCCAAATCATCGCTTCAATGTGTGCTTTTGTGTGGGGGCTAAGAATGTTTTATCAAAACGTGACAAAAGATAACTTTGATCAGGAAATCAAAGCGTTAACAGATTAGCCTTTCATTTCTATCAATAAGGGATGGAAAAAAAACCTAATTTTTATCCAAAATTTAAACAAAGGGTTACATGTAGAACTAAAGAAGTGGCTCAAAACACTATGCCAAAAGTCAAATCATCGCTTCAATGTGTGCTTTTGTGTGTGGTCTAAATTTTTTTATCAAAACGGGTCAAAAGTTAAGTTTTTATCACAAATTCAAAACAGTAAGGGGTTAGCCATGCATTTTTATAAAAACTGGTCAAAAGCACATTTTTATCACAAAATCAAAATGGTTAGGTGTTAGCTTTGCATTTTTATAAAAATGGAGGGAAATGTACCTTTTAACACAAATTATAACGGTAAGGGGTTAGCATTGCATTTTTTTTCAAAACGGGGTAAGCGTTAACTTTTGATCACAAAATCAAAACGGAAATGGGTTAGTTAGTGCAAGTTAGCCTTGCATTTTTATCAAAAACAGGGCAAAAAAACCTTTTTATCCAAAATTACAAACGGTAAGGCGTCAGCCTTGCATTTTTATCAAAATGGGGGAAAGCTAAGTTTTTATCACAAATTCAAAACGGTAAGGGCTAATGAAGGGGTTAGCCTTGCATTTTTATCAAAATGGGGGAAAATTAAGTTTTTATCACAAATTCAAAATGGTAAGGGGTTAGCCTTGCATTTTTATCAAAGTGGGAGAAAGTTAAGTTTTTATCACAAATTCAAAACGGCAAGGGGTTAGCCTTGCATTTTTATCAAAATGGGGGAAAGCTACGTTTGTATCACAAAATCAAAACGGTAAGGGGTTAGCCTTGCATTTTTTTTCAAAACAGGGCAAAATTTTTTTTATCACAAATTCAAAGCGGGTAGCGGATTAGCCTTTCATTTTTATCAAAAAGGGACAAAAAGAATTATTTATCACATATTCAAACCGGTTCGTGGTTAGACTTGAATTTTTATCATAACTGGTCAAAAGTTTAACTTTTCATCAGAAATTCAAAACTGTAAAGGATTAGCCTCGCATTTTTATCAAAAAGGGGCAAAAACAAATTTTCATCATCAAAACGGTAAGGGGCTAGCCTTACATTTTTATCAAGAAGGGGCAAAAACAAACTTAGTTTTTATGGTAGTTTTTATCAAAAAATAGCACGAACATAAATTTTTATCAAAATTTCAATACGGTAAGGGGTTAGCATTTACTTTTTATCAAAACATGTTCAACTTATGCCTGTGCAAATCCGAAGGTAAAAGTGGCGAACAAGACATTGTTTAGACTTACCACTTAGACGACTTGCATGATGTCAGACTTCTTGGGTGTATTGTTTCAAAATGAATGTGTAAATTGCAAGTTTGCATCGACAGGTCTCGCATATGACCAAGAAAAATTACCGCAAATAAATGTTTAACTGGAAAATACAAGACTACCTATAGTCGAGCCTTAAGCCGAACTGTTTACAAAATCAGTCACAAGTCATCACAAGTCAGCCAAGAGTCATTCAGTCTCAAATCTATTCAACGTGACTGATCTGGTTACATCTCTGCCCAAAACAGCCAAGTCCAGTTCTGCCCTCTGCAAATCTTGGGTGTCGGCAAGCTCACCTTGGCCCCCTCTCCAAGTCTCTTGTCCAGTTTTTCACACTCCTTGTTGACACTGTGATCAACCTCATTCTCATCAATCTGAATGGAAAAAAAGAAACAAAAGTTTCATTTAAAACAACATATTCTCTGTATCTCTGGTAACTGTGATTTTACAAAACTTGCCACAAATTTGTTTCCATGTGATACTTCAAATGCTTGGCACTGAAAGCTTAGTTCTTTATTTTTCTGCTCCTGTAGTATTGAATAGTTATCTTTGGTTCAAGTTAGGGCACATCTTAAAAGTTGAAATGTTCCAATTCCATAAGCTTCTTTTTGGAGCACTGTGTGTTCCCAATGTGTTCCCAACTGTGGCCTAATTACAGAAGTTATTTCTGCACCAGGCAATTTTGACTTTGACTCAACCATGTGTCCCGTCCGAAATTTCAAGTTAGAATGATTTGCTCTCTTTTGACATTGACCTTCAATACTTTAAAACATAAATCAAATGGCCATTTGTGCTCGTTTTGTTTTGGCATGGTACAAAAACCTGGCTACACTTTTAAACAATTTGGAACAGCGACTCAACTTCTAAGTGGCATTTGAAAGGACCATGGCACATCTTGATTTTAGACGTAAATCCACTCATGAGCTAGTATATAATATTTGAGCAGATTCGCTGATCAATTATGCAAGACCTCTAGATTTTGACCAATCAGAGGGCCCTTTCTATATCAGGCCTTCGGTCATTCACCCATTGTCGCATCATATACATCATTAAAAAAAAACCTCCAGACACAACATGGGATACGCTGTGAATTGAGCACACAAAGGCTGTGGTCAGGCACTCTGTGTTATGTTACGCAATACACCCCAAGCTTGTCTAGATTCTATAGATCTAGGCCCGGCCGTTGTTTTAGTATAAAACACTGCATCGGAATCAACCAATCACACTTGTACCTGTTGTCAAGATTTCGGAATGAAATTACGTCCTGATTTAACGTTGACTCTGATTGGCTACCGTAGCTCATGGCACAGCACACATTTGCATTCCTAGACGTTTGAATGGAGTTAGGGCTAGAACGGGTGATACTCAGACTACTCATGAGCTGAACCTAATGCAAACTGGTGCAAATCTACAGCAGGTTTGGACAAAAACTTAGTTTTGAGCCGCCATCTACACTTTTAGTGTAAAATTTGTTTGGACAAACTTGGTCAGTGATTGGTAATTATCTGTTCAATGGTAATTTCACCTTTGTGAAATGAAAATCTAGTTGGGCTTACTGATTTTTGGGATGGCTTGACTCTTGATCGCCAGTCGGAACCATGTGGATATAAATTGCCAAATAAACACAAGATGTGAGTAAACTTACTTGTTGAGTTCTCTGGGCATGTTTGCCCTTTCCAGCAACTGGCACAGCAATGGTTCCATGTTGCTAGATTCAAGCCCATCAAGCTTGACGTCGATGCACAGCAGACTGTTCAAGATCTCCCTCCCTTCCAGAGCCTCAAACTCCGCCCCCTTTCCGAGCCCTCCCATGCCTACAACAAAGAGTAGCCGCCGAAGAAGCGTAAGTAAGCACTGGAGTCATCATTGATGCATTGGACATCATGGATCGCTATCAGCGGGGCCGTTTTGGTGCCTAGTTGGGTGTCTTGGACGAAACGACTCAGGAGACGTTGGAGGATTTAGTGCGCCCTGCTGGGGAGAGGCTTGCGACGGACTCATGAGAGAAAAGCTGGGGAGAACCAAGAAGGAACACTCGGTGTCAGGTGGCTTGGAATTTATGCTAGCAGTAACTCTGCATTTGGGTTTCTAATAAAGCAGTTTAACCCATTCATAAAGACATGAATGATTTCAAGTGAATCGATCTGGAGCAAAACATTACCTAAACATGGGCACAACAAGCCAATAACCTATAATGAAATTGAGTACAATCAAATCGTCTTTTACTGAATCAAATACGACTCTTCTGAAAAGCTATTTTAACAGGTTTTTAAAAATAATGTTAAAGGCGTATAGGATCATTTGCATTTAATCAGATCAGACTGGTTTTTAAACGTATACATACAAACATGTATATACCGTACAAAATTTTCTTTTTCTGTAATTTTCAGATATAGAAGGATTTGGGGGGTAAGTATTTAATAGCAAGTATTTTAACACTGACCTATTTAAAGTTTTGTGTTCATAGATGCTGGGAAAACCAAGAAAAAAATGCTGTTCTTGTCTTGAAGTATGGTTCCTCACCCTACTTCAGACAAAACAGAGCAATTTATAGGCGTCAGGGAATTGTACCGATAGGGTCAGGGAACCAGACTAGCTGGCTTGCTCGCACTCACGGATGTGTAACCGATTGCAAACAAAATGTGTACTAACTATAATTGGCAAATTGGGGGCAGTATTGAAAACAGTCAGGTTTTTCCAACGATGGTCGGCCGACAATCATTGGAAATTGATACAAAAAATCCACTTTTCTGGAAAATGACAGCACACCAGGTGCCATGATTTCACAGGACACTTGAGACTATTATTCACTGAAATTTCATAATAATTTAGTAATTTTGTTTTTTGATGTTTGCAAATGTTGCATACCGCGGTATTAACTTTTACACCCCCAAAATGATTCCGTCTGTCTTGCTGTCATTTAGAAAACCGAGTAATGTAGGGGATTTCCAACGATCAGTCAATCGACTCATTTTTGAAGAAAGAGTTACAAACACACAAATTATGTTTCATGATCAAAAGTGTTTTTTTTACTGTTTTCTAGGGGGGAAATGGTATCACTGAGCTGAAACTTCAATAGGTTAGGCATTCAACATTCTTCTTTTGATTTTGAATGGTCTTATTATTTGAAAACGAACAAAAGTCATGAATATCAAATGATCCTATATGCCTTTTAAAATAAAGATCTTCCCTTTTGTTACAATGACCTTTTTATTTTCTAAACGGACTTTCCTACAATGTAGGTGATATTATGCCCATTTGAAGTTTGTAAATTTAAAAGAGATACAGCTTGTTAAATGTTTTGGTTATGCGTTCTTGAACTGCTACACAAATGGAATCACTTACTGTCTCGCATTCCCTTGATGATCAACAGGTCATCAGCTTGCCGTAAGGGACGTCAATGACTTCATCAACCTCAGTCGCTGGACGATGACACGGTCCACCTCGGGGCTGGTCAGATCCTCACAATTCCTGTGAACATTGGCAGAAAAATCATCATCTATGGGAAAAATTACCAAGACAACAATTGTGCAAGAGAACTAGTTCCAAGCAAGATAAATCACATGGGAATGAAGCTGGTAACCGGCATCTGCTAAACAATGAACAAATTCTATTCTTTGTAGCGTTGTAACGAGACACTGAATGTTGTGACTTGAGTTGAGTCGAGTCATTTTAAGGAAGTGACTTGAGTCAAATCCAGTCGGGTGGAGTAACAGTGTGTGGTTGAATCGAGTCAAGTAGAATCTGTGCTCTAGTCAATTTAAAGCCGGCCTCAGGTCGACCTTGCGACTGACAAAGATCAGTCGACGACCGACTTTTCAGGATCAAGCTGTGCCTGAGCTACCACCGGCGGGAAGATTTCAGTCGCCGATTTTTTGCGACCTGAGTGTAACTGTGACGATATTAAGACGATCAGAATTAGTCGGGTCTAAAAAAAAATCAACAGTAGCAAGAGTAGAAAAATTTCAACTTCTATGACGACGTTGCAATCGTGTGCGCATCAAGATCATCCTTTCCAATTGTTTAGCCAATTAGCACACTACTCTGGCACTCCGCACGTTCTGCGCAACATCACGCAGTACGCACCACGGTGACATGAGCAATTTTGAGCATGGTATACAAATATTGAGTGGCTCAGCGTGGAATGGGAGGAATATTATCGCAAGGTAAAATCTGGACTTTTCCATTTCACGAGGCGAAGCCGAGTGAACTGGAAAAGTCCAGATTTTACCGAGCGATAATATTCCTCCCATTTTACAATTTAAAGCCACTCAATATTTGTTTTATATAACTGACATAAAGATCCTTGTCATTTGATATATTTGAACTTTTTTTGCAATAGAAAACTGAGGGAAAATGTATTTCTCTCTTCCAAATACCCCTTCACGAAAATGATTGAACCCAACGCTGTAGCGCTGGCTCTTTGGAACAATACGCGCTACGCGCAACGCTGAACGCGCACACCAGCATGCATTTCCACACAAATACCGCCTCATGATCCTAACTGTTGAATAGTATTTCCCATTCCCCATGGGCGGATAGTACTTTTTGAGCCGCGGCGTGAATGGGAGCAATAACGAATGTCACGTGATGTGAGTTCCACCAATCAAATGACTAGGATATATGTCAGTTATATAATTGCGATTATTTAATCGGGATGCCGCTTGTTCAAGAGAATCACACGATTTCTCAGTTTTGTGATCTGAGTATTATTTTTCTGCTTGATGCCGACGGTTCCGTCATGGCGCAAGCAAATCGCGGGTCGACCTGAGGCCGGCTTAAGTCAGTGATATTTGAACAACATCTAATAAATTACAGAATGGAAGAAAGAACACAAGGCACCAGTTTGTAATGAAAATCCAAAGACTTAAAAAACGCTGCATGGTACCCAATAGACAGTTTCTGCTGGACGTTTCTACCAAAGATCTGCGTACCAATTAACATGAAGTGAACTCCGGTTTCATCTCTGGTTTGGATTCAGGTCTGAAATATTTTTTACGCTGACAAATTGCAACATTTGAAACTGTTTCTGATTATATAGAAAATATCAAATAAAATTTGAAAACATAAATTTAGTTGGAGTTTCATCAAGGGCTTAGGAAATCGCCCGAAGCCGAAGATGAAACCAAGAATTGGGAAAACTCTGGTTCCGGGATAGTAATTTGTGCGCTACATTATAGTACACGAGTTGGGAATCCGTGACAAGGCCAAAAGAAAAAAAATAATTCTGCTTCCAATTACATGTCATTCGAAAATAGGGTAGGTACATGTACATGTAGGTAGGGACTTCTTTTTGCCAATATTTTTTGGTACGATCATATGGAGGAGTCTGCGTGTAGTCATGGGTTAAAGGCAGAAATTGATGGTTTTTGGTGTTTTTTTTGTCATTTTTCCCATAACAAGATTAGGGTAGGGGCTGTCAGAATAGGGTAGATAGGGGGTTTCCCTACAAAAAAAAAATTCTGCTTCCGGTTGAAAGCAGAACTTTTTTTTTTTGGCCTGAGGCGTATACATGTATTTGTACGCGATTAACGGCAACAACTCGACGGTAATGTGAATATAAAACTTTGTAATGTTCGCACAGTGTTAGGACTCAAGTTTTATTAACCTTCGACTCAAGTCGAGTTGAGTCTACTGATGAGAGACTCGAGTCCAGTCGAGTCAATTACCCATTGGGACCTGAGTCGAGTCAATTACATTGTAAATCATTGACTTGAGTCATTACAACTCTGATTCATTGTTCAGCAAAGTTGTGTGCTTCACAGCAACATGAAATATGCTCTTATTGAAGGGTTTAGAGGTGAAATGCCCCAAGTATGACATCACCCCAACTACATTGTATAGTTGGGACCACTGCCATATTTTGGGCTACAGTTGGGACGACTGCCATATTTTGGGCTATACTTTGGACCACTGCTATATTTTGGGCTATAGTTGGGATCACTGCCATAATCTGGGCTACAGTTGGGACCACTACCATAATCTGGGCTACAGTTGGGACCACTGCTATATTTTGGGCTACAGTTGGGACCACTGCCATATTTTGGGCTATAGTTGGGACCACTGCCATATTTTGGGCTACAGTTGGGACAACTGCCATATTTTGGGCTATAGTTGGGATCACTGCCATAATTTGGACTACAGTTGGGACCACTGCTATAATCTGGGCTACAGTTGGGACCACTGCCATATTTTGGGCTACAGTTGGGACCACTGCCATATTTTGGGCTATAGTTGGGACCACTGCCATAATTTGGGCTACAGTTGGGACCACTACCATAATCTGGGCTACAGTTGGGACCACTGCCATATTTTGGGCTACAGTTGGGACCACTGCCATATTTTGGGCTATAGTTGGGACCACTGCCATAATTTGGGCTACAGTTGGGACCACTACCATATTTTGGGCTATAGTTGGGACCACTGCCATAATTTGGGCTACAGTTGGGACCACTACCATAATCTGGGCTACAGTTGGGACCACTGCCATATTTTGGGCTACAATTGGGACCACTGCCATATTTTGGGCTATAGTTGGGACCACTGCCATATTTTGGGCTATAGTTGGGACCACTGCCATAATTTGGGCTATAGTTGGGACCACTGCCATATTTTGGGCTACAATTGGGACCACTACCATAATCTGGGCTACAGTTGGGACCACTGCCATATTTTGGGCTACAATTGGGACCACTACCATAATTTGGGCTACAGTTGGGACCACTACCATAATCTGGGCTACAGTTGGGACCACTGCCATATTTTGGGCTACAGTTGGGACCACTGCCATATTTTGGGCTATACTTTGGACCACTGCCATATTTTGGGCTATAGTTGGGATCACTGCCATAATCTGGGCTACAGTTGGGACCACTACCATAATCTGGGCTACAGTTGGGACCACTGCCATATTTTGGGCTACAGTTGGGACCACTGCCATATTTTGGGCTATAGTTGGGACCACTGCCATATTTTGGGCTACAGTTGGGACCACTGCCATATTTTGGGCTATAGTTGGGACCACTGCCATAATTTGGGCTACAGTTGGGACCACTACCATAATTTGGGCTACAGTTGGGACCACTACCATAATCTGGGCTACAGTTGGGACCACTGCCATATTTTGGGCTACAGTTGGGACCATTGCCATATTTTGGGCTATAGTTGGGACCACTGCCATAATTTGGGCTACAGTTGGGACCACTACCATAATCTGGGCTACAGTTGGGACCACTGCCATATTTTGGGCTACAATTGGGACCACTGCCATATTTTGGGCTATAGTTGGGACCACTGCCATATTTTGGGCTATAGTTGGGACCACTGCCATAATTTGGGCTATAGTTGGGACCACTGCCATATTTTGGGCTACAATTGGGACCACTACCATAATCTGGGCTACAGTCGGGACCACTGCCATATTTTGGGCTACAATTGGGACCAATGCCATATTTTGGGCTATAGTTGGGACCACTGCCATATTTTGGGCTATAGTTCGGACCACTGCCATAATTTGGGCTATAGTTGGGACCACTGCCATATTTTGGGCTACATATATAGTTGGGACCACTGCCATATTTTGGGCTACAGTTGGGACCACTGCCATATTTTGGGCTATAGTTGGAACCTCTGCCATATTTTGGACTACAGTTGGGACCACTGCCATATTTTGGGCATAACAGTCTTACCGATGATTTGATGGTGTTCAGTTTGTGGATTTCCGTCTTCGTTTTTGCCACCTTGCTCTACTTGTACAAGTTTGCGCTGCATCTGCAGGCACTTCAGCTTTTTCTCCAACTCGCTCATCTTACGGCCCAAGTCCATGCTGCATCATGACGGCCTTCAGCACCTCCACCAGGCTGAACTCCTCATGCAGGCCCAGGCTGCGGCCAGGGAACAGGCTTTGAAACCTAAAAAGAAAAATTAACATCTATTCAATTAAAAGTGTCAATTTCATTTTCTTGAGCAACATTTTCAATTTCATAACGTTTATCCAAAAACTTATTACGTAGCTCTGCCAAGGAGGCTATGTTTGCACCAGCGTTAATTGGTTTGTGATTTGGTTGGTTGGTTGGTTTGTTGGTTGGTTTGTTGGTTATGGACAGATTTTCATGACAGTTTTTGCGGGAGTGGTCTTTGGTAAAGTACAAATCGATTGGATTTTGGAAGTGATCCAGATAGTCTACATGTTCATCTGGATGCAGGATTTTTTTTACAGATTTTTTTCACCCATCATATGGAAAACTTTCAACAGATCACCCTGCGTGACCCTCTTCTTGTGCGTGGCACTGACCCGGTGACCCTGTATCCCTTATCACCCTCCTAATCTAACCACACAGGTCAATGGACTAGACCATTTTATACAATGGGGGAGTGGAAAGGTAGACTGACACAGGCATACATACACAAAATGTT